CGAATTTTTTCACCAAATAAAACTTGTTCCTCTTGATGAGACGTGTTCTGACACCTTATCATTCTTTTAATATTGTAGTGAATCTGTAATCTCCCTAACAAAAACAAAAACAAATGTTTTTGTAAAAAAATTGCGCCGAGGAAGTTGGTCCTACTTCTGCTGATTTTTTATTTCATAGAGAATTTTTTTCTAATCCCTATTCGGTTAAGAACTTTTTTTCTCATAGAAATCTGATTGTGTCCTATGACCATTTATTCAACATTTCTGACTTGGCTTTTTTTTATTTGTTTGTATTTTTCAAAAATTTTCACTTTTCAGTAAGAAACACATAAAACTTTTCCTTGGCGCAATTTTTTTACAAAAACATTCGTTTTTGTTTTTTACGGAGATTTAATTGTTTTTTCAAAATCAGCAAAGAATTGTCTTCATATTTTGTAAAAATTCTTCTTTAAAATTCAATTTACTTCATTTGAACAAGATAGAACATACTTCCAAGTAATAATTGAAAAGACACTAACATACTCCAGATTCATTATTTCCACCGACTTCTAATTATTTATCCAAGATTTTCTGACTTAGTTTGTTCCTCGCATTTAATTTTTCATTTGATTTTCTATGGTAATTGTATTCTTTTGACAGATGAATTGGTTTTCTTTGCAGAACAGCCGAAAAAAATGCTTACTTAATCGAACTTTTTATAAAAACATCTGTTTTTTTTTTCCTGAGATATTATTAATTTTTTCGAAATAATCACAAAATTGTTTTCGTATCCTTTGCATCTCACCCTAACCCCATTAAGAAATTTTTTCGCCACGAAATTGAAAACATTTGCTATCATCACTCGATTTTTTCCAACTTGACTATCGACGAGCATTTAGTACTTGATCACACAACTTTCGACAAATAGCACCCCTGTCAGATTTCAAACCTAAACCATAACCTCACAAAGTATCTTCACCTGCAAGGTACGGATAGAGATATGACGAGAAAAAATTCGGATTTTCAGCAAGAGAAAAAAAAAAATAGAACACAGATTTGATTTTTCCTTTTACTCTAATAAATGATTTCAAGTAAAAAAAAATCTTTCTCTTGGTTCTTCATAACAACATGACAATGAATGTTGAATGTAAGGCTCAGTTGGATCGGCGCTGCCAACGTTGTAACTTGTTCCTCCGACTTTATAATGTGTACCGCGAGAATGCGAATATCAATCTGTTACAATCGGCGTATCTTTTTTACTGTTCATCCAAAAAATACAATAGTTACACCGTTGAAAAGCTCATAGGCGATTTATATTATATTGTAACTAAGGACACTTTTCCGCTTTATCGTCCCGTTCTTATCATACCGAATGAAAATCATTTAGAGGTAGTGGAGGGAGAAGTTCTGTCGTGTATAGATACGCGGTGCGCTCGGCCTGAGATGTTGAACAATTAATGTCAAAACTTTCTCTTGGCCGATACGCTTCAGGGTATCTCGATTCCTTCAATTATTCTATTATTGACAATTTTTTGTTTTTCCTCTGAACCACTCTTCTGAAGTTGGGGTCTCTCAATTGTTTCATTCTTTTTCTGTTCTCTGTTTTTGACACATCTTTTTGTATTTATTCTTCGCCTCATTAATTTAATAAACCTTTATTTATTTAAACCTACGTGCTTTTTAATATTTTCTTATTTTACATAGAAAATACCGCAAAAACTAACTGTGTTGTCAAATTAAAAATTTACACATACTTTGCGCGCCTTAGTATTAGGTGTATAACTTAATCTTTCCTTGTTTTTTTCATTGAGTGCGGTGTCTTGATTAAAATTTAAATATTAAGTCATCTCTCTTCTGGTGTTACCTGTTTCTTTCCAGCTGGCATGGTTTTGCGCCCTCTGACGAAAAAATAGTAACATGATAGTATTGCTCATTTAGTATAGCAGTATCGTATAGTTTTCGTCTTAATTACGTTACAGTATTGACGATGGAAGAATTGAAAAAATCTGTGAGTGTACTGGAGCAACGAATATTCCTGAAATTTTGTACCCTATCAGATTATTCTGGAGGAGTTGCACACGGGTTATCAGTGAAATGTGTTGGCTGCAATGCATTGAATAAACAAACAATACAACGCTGGCTCAATGCCTATAAACAAGGTCGAACGCCCGCTGAAGATGAGGTGCGGATCCCTCGACCAATGTCATCAAATAGATTAGAAGGGAGAGACAGAATCGCAGAAGCTCTCCGTCAGTCACCTAGAGTGAGTGTCAACGATGTTTCCAGCCAACTTGGTATTCAACTGTGCATAGAGTACTACTCGAAGATTTAGGTCTGGTTAATAAATTGGCAACATGTATACCTCACAGTTTAACTGACAATCAAAAAGAATTTCAATATGAAGCTGCACGTGACAACTTGGCGTGGTTTCGTCGTAAGAAAAATATACTTTCTAGGCTCCTGTGTGCAGATGAAAGTTGGGTCGAATTTTATACCCCTCTTCTCGTTGCAAAGCCTCTCGTTGCTATGCACGTAACTTTCTTAATATTGAACTTGAACAAAACAATAACTTGAACAAAAAAGTAGACATGTCAATGAAAAGATTGTGAGCGATTTCTATGATATAACTAAGTGTATTCTCCATGTAACTTGTCTCATTGTTATTTTATTAAATGGGCATGATCTGCAGGAAGTGGGGGGGAGGGTAGTTACTTCGTATATAGATACACGGCAGCGGGCGACCAGAGGTGTGGGACAGTCGAAGTCAAAAGTTTTCCTTGACGGATACGTTGCCACATATGGCAATGTATATTTTGTGATATGATAAAAATCATGTACTGTTCCTCGCCTGAACTGATCGCGGTTGATTGGGGCGAAAATTCGTAATTATACCTCAGCGAGGAGTCGGATCACCAAAGGCCACATGATAAGATCTATTTTCTTGTATTTACTGTTTTTATTTTCCCTATCTTTCCAATTCTAATACTATTGCGCTCACCGCGAGTTACGCGTCAGCTTCACGACGAGGAGAGTGGAGCGGAGCATCGGGAAGGAGCTACGAAGTCGGCAGATGACGAGTTGGCACACCTGCAGGCACGCATAGACCGGGCCTGGGAGACTCACACTAACGTACACGCGGCAAACGTTAGACGCATGCCAGCAGGCAACTCAGGCCTCTACGTGTTGACCCTCACCACCTCACCAATGGTTTTGTGGCGCAAGGCCACCACACAAAAACTCATGCTGCAACATCATGGCAGAGACGGATTATGCTCCTGCGCCATTCAATGCGGAACAACTCCTCCGACCGAGAGATGCGAGTCCCAATGTTTTGGGACCCATCATTTTTATATTATTTTAAAATGAATATTCACCAGGTGAATTAATTCGCAGTATGATCGGTAGATTAGGGTGGAGGTAGGAGAAAATCTCGAGGTTCCTCGGAGTGATGGATTGCCCTGATAAGACACTCTTTGCTGGGACGTGTTAGACAGTGCCAGTAATTTTACGCTCTTTGAGCCCAAAAACCATATTCAGTTTTTTGTTTTTTTTTCTGTTGGATTATTGTTGGTTCGTACTGGAGCTTGGGACCAGTCCTGCCATTGCCGCCGTTTCGTTGAGGATTATTCAGCTGATCTAGAAGGTTTACGCGCAACGGTGAGGGTGATTTTTTTTGTGAGTGCTGGCGTGATTTTCCGTTATATGTCTCCAGTGGCCATTTTGGCTCCGTTTGCGTAGAAATTAGATTTGTTCCTACAACGAGGCACTCAGCAGCCATCAGCTGCATTGATATTCTGATGATTATTTTTTTTTGCGTTGTTACATGTTTTGCATTAATTATTGTGTGTTAATTTGAAAGAATTGTGAGTCAATGTTTGGCTCCACAATTGCGATAGTTTTTTTTGTCGCCGTGGCTCTCGCGTTATTCGCGTTCCGATGATCTCCGCGTTCGTCACGTCTTTTAAGCCCTGTTATTAGATTGATTATTGTTTTCTGTTCGTTGATAATATTATTTCATATCCACTCATTGGTGCGGGAATACTTCCCCGTAAACAAGCCTGAAACGCCAAAAACCGTAACGCTAAAACGGGACTCCAGGAACAATCAGCAGCTCATTCCATCCTTATTTCGAGTGAGTAGATGTGTGAGGCCGTATCTGGCCCAACCCATTTTGGAGAGGGTCAGAAGGGTCTGCCTGAAGGTATCCCGCGAATGGGTGGTAGGCGGCTGATTAATCGATTAATTCGCGGTTTAATTCGTGGATTTAATTCGCGATTTTAATTCGCGGTTTTAATTCGCGGTTTTAATTCGCGGATTTTTTAGTGCAACGCTGTAGGACGTGTCTGTTCACGAAGGGTACCCCTCCGAGTGGGTCGTAATTTCATTAGTCGCGAGTGGGTGGTAGGCGGTCGATTCATCGATTGATTGACGGATTTAATTCGCGGTTTTAATTTGCGGATTCAGTTGACGGTTTGATTCGCATGTTGTATTAAGGAGTGCTAGGATTTTTAAGGATAAGAAGGGTAGCTAGTATTTTATAAATGAAAAAAAACATTTAATAATTAAAAATATTATTTATTTTACAATAGACAGGATGAAATGCGTATTACATATGTCGAAAGCGGTTTAATCCCCCCCCCCTTCCTGCTTCTTCTTGATCAGAGTAAGCTAGTTACGCTGGCAAGTCGTTTGCGGACACAGCTACGCCTTGTGCTGCCATTGGATTAATGGTACATCAATGGCACCAACTTCATTACAACCCTCAGGGCTAATCCCCGTCAGGAGCTCTCAGCTCTCTCGAGGCAGCAACATGTAGGCCCTGTTGAGGATGAGCAGCCATCCTTGTGGAGCCAGATCGATGGGTCTGGCTAGCCTCCCCATATGCCCATCCTCAATCCTCCACGTGATGAGCTCATTCAATCGAGCTCTGGAGGTTTGCTGAGCCCAGGCTTCTGGGAAGGTAACTCCAGCTCTCAGCTCAACATATCCTGGATATCCCTGTAAGCAGAGACAAAAAAGTTATGACAATTATTCTGGGGATTGAGAAAGAAGAGACAGTGAGGGCTTGTTACTTACCAGAGCTGGCGGGTAGAAAACGAGATTCTCTACCTCCTGATGATGGTGTTGAGGCTGCTGGGGCTGCTGATGATGGTGGGGCTGTTGGTGGTGCCAAGCCTGCTGGGGCTGTTGATGGTGCCAAGGCTGCTGGGACTCCTGAGACTCCTGATGATGGTGTTGAGGCTGCTGGGGCTGCTGATGATGCTGGAGCTATGGATGATGTCAAGGCTGCTGAGTTTGCTGAGGCTGTTGATGATGCTGGGGCTGTTGTTGGTGCTAAGGCTGCTGAATCTGCTGAGACTCCTAAGACTCCTGATGATGCTGAGACTGTTGATGCTGGGGCTGTTGATGGTGCTGAGGCTGTTGATGCAGCAGAGACTCCTCATGACGCTGGGGCTGTTGATGGTGCCGAAGATGCTGAGGTTGCTGGGGTCCATTGTACTGCTCCTCTTGGAGCACTCTCGCTGGAGTAACGATTTCATCGCTATACCCACTATCGTCATCATCATCATTATCATCATCATCCGTAATCTCCATTTGCTCCTCAGGACTCGGGACTTCATCAATTATGACGACGTCATCATCGTCGGTCTCCATGGGCACTTCCCAATACGGACCTTCCCAGACGATGATGACGTCATCTTTTCCAGTCTCCATCCTGTCGAGTTCCTGGCGGGGACCTCCATGAATGATGACGATGCCATCTCCGTCCTCATCCTCAGCCTCTCCTTCTTCTTCATCTTCTCCGTCTTCATTNCCCCCCCCCCTTCCTGTCCATCCTGTCGAGTTCCTGGCGGGGACCTCCATGAATGATGACGATGCCATCTTCGTCCTCATCCTCAGCCTCTCCTTTTTCTTCTTCTTCTTCGTCTTCATCCTCTTCCTCTCCTACTTCTTCTTCTCTCCCAATATCCATTTCTTGGGTTGGCCCTTCCGCCTCCATCACCTGATGCCGTTGAGCTCGCTCCGCTTGCTCCTCCCGAAGCCGAGTCAGATATTTGGTAGTGGGCTCTTCGAAATCCTCGTCGAGCAGGAACTCCCACATCAAACCCGCTGCAGGATGAGCGGTGACCCACACTGTTGCTGGAGGGTCCAACATCACATGAGCAGCCAAGAGGGGGAAATGTTGGAGAATGGATTCATTCTCCACGTGGAGAATCATAGTCTTCTCCAACTCCTCGCAGAGGTATTCCGCCGTATAACGTTTTACCCACTCCAATGGGCAAAAAACATTCTCCTTGATGGCGACATATTCTTGGACGGGATTCATTGTTACGAACAAACGAACACGAACACTTGCACAAACACGAATGAAATTTTACGTTTTGCTGTCCTTTGAAGACGTTGTGGTGGACTGTGAATTGAGGGTGACTGACAAATGGCATTTATAGGAGTAAACTACCCCCACCACGAGAATTTTTCGGGGTTTTGCACATAGAAAAACGACTAACACAGACCACTTACCTCACAACCAATAAAAGACCCAAAACTTCTTATAACCCAGACCGAGTGCTTCATTACTTTATTATAGAGAATTCCAAAGCTACTATCTGCATCGAAAAATCTGTACACTGCCTCAATTTTCGAATCATAAAACTTGAAAGGGTCATCGATTGGGAAATTGTCGGAAAGGTATACTCAATCCCTCTGGAAAAAATCTGTACTCTACTCTGTTATCTGATCAGCAGATTTAAAAGCTATATGACTCAGAGAGAATATTCAGCGAGAGTAAAAATGTGGAAAGCTGTAGGATCACTCTTATAAGTCATGAGAATTTATCTGAAAAATCTCAAGAGCAGACTAGGATATGATGTTGAAAATACCTTGTCTTCTATCTCACAAAAACTTATTTTACACATGATTTATGACACCCCTATTTTCCTGTATTTCAGCTAGATAAGGGTTAAGACGGTAAAAATAGGTGTAAGAAAAAAAGTAAAAGTATTTCAGACTCAATTTTCTCTCGAGATAAGTGATCTTAAAATCACCTTTTCACAAAAAATTATCGCGTCATCCATGAAAATTTCTGTAAATTGTTTTTCTACATGATTTATCACCCTTATCCCCGAGGATTTTAGCTGGATCAGGGTTAAAAGAGTAAGAATGTAAAAAAGATGAAAGCTTTTCAGACTCAATTTCCTTTCGTGATAAGTGATCTTGAGAATGCTTTTCCCCAAAAATTATCTCGCCTTCTGCGAAAATTTCAATCTTTGTATTTTTTTTCACGTGATTTACCCCCACCCATTGTTTAGACTATAAAGCCGAGGTTTTTCCATGGTTTTCCATCAGTTCTTACGTAAGACTTACGAGTAACGTTTCAATTTTTGTCACGATGAATTCTCTTGTGTGCAAGCAGTGGCTCAAGCGTTTGGAGGAGGAATATGATATCTTGAAGATGGAGCGAAGACCAGCGGAAATTCAACGAAGTCTCCATGACATTCGGGATAAGATGCGAGAGGTCAAACAACTTTTGGACGAGGGTGTATCTCAGGGTCAAAAATTGCGTTTGACATATATGTTGTCGCGATTGAAAATATTCGAAGTTTCATTTAAAGCCTTGGAAACCGTTGGAAGAGGGTTGAGTGATAAGTTAACTGATAGAGTGCGATGGGCGGATATTCAAAGTGTATTTGAAGGGCGCATGAGGACTGGTGTCATCATTAATTTGAAAAAACAAGATTTAATCAAATTTTTGAATGACGCTCGCAGGATGCTCTGTGTGCGTCTTAAAAATGCTTTAAAATGGGAACGTGGTCTCAAAGTGAACGTAGTATTGTCGTGCAAGTATGAAGTTTGAAAAAATGGAGAAATCTTAGAAGAAGACAAATTTTTCAGTACAAAAATGAGATTATCTTGGAATCTACCCACCTCAACCAGTGGTTTGAAGAATTTACAAAAAATAAACTTCTAGCCAAGGTGGATGAACTCCAAGGGAAGGATTCAGGATGGTCACTCCGTGAAGTTATTAATATGGATATAAATATTAATAAATATAATCCATTACGTGGAGGTTCGAGTTTTGTCGAGGTACCCCGGTGGATTCAATTGAAGAAGGCAGTAATCAATGTCCAAAATACGAACGACCCTTATTGCTTCTTGTGGTCCATCATGGCGGCCCGGTGCAATATCAAACATAAAGAACGATCGAATTCCTATCCACCGTCCAGCACAGTGATTAAAAATTTCGCTATGTTCAATTATCCTATGGCTATAAAGGATATAACAAAATTTGAAAAACTGAATGAGATGTCGATAAATGTATATATAATCGACTGTGATGAACACACGGGAAAAGAATCGATCGCACCGTTATATTTGAGCTCGCGATCCCCAACGACACTCCAAGAAGCTGAGAAAACTATTCATCTTTTGATGATTAAAAAAAAAGATGATCAACTACCAACTGAAAGAGTTTTCCATTACACGTGGATCGCTAACCTCTCCCGACTACTCAGCAGTCAATTATCGAAGACTCAACATCGCACCTTTATATGTGATAGATGCTTGTGTCATTTCAAAAAGGAGGAATCTTATGCAAAACACAGAATGGATTGCATATCCATAAACAAGTGTCGCATGATATTCCCCGCAAATAGTGATAAGTATTTAAATTTAAAAATTTAAAGCATCAGCTTCACATGCCATTTGTTGTATATGCCGATACGGAATGTTTGTTGGAAAAAGTGCCTTATGACAACAAGAATCAGCTTCACATGCCATTTGTTGTATATGTCGATACGGAATGTTTGTTGGAAAAAGTTCCTTATAACAATAATGACAATACCAAAATCTAATACTAAAATCTAATCAAAAAAATGTGCCATATAGTGTAGCATATTATGTAAAGTATCACTATGATGACTCAAAGTCTGAACTGTGTGTTTATCGGATGCGGGATTGTATTGAGTGGTTCATTGAACAATTGCGTAATTTAGCAGTGAGTGTAGATACCGCATTACAACGCAATGAGCGCATGTATTTGACGGCAGATATGTGGAAGGATTTTGATGCAGCAAAAAATTGCTACATTTGTGGAGACATTTTCACAGATAAAGCAGTGAAGCACCGGGATCACTGTCATTTCACGGAGAACTATCGAGGCCCTGCGCATCCGGGCTGTAATTTGAACTACAAGGAGTCATGTACAATCCCCATAGTTTTCCACAACTTATCTGGTTATGATTCCCATTTTTTCATAAAGGCTTTGGCCAAACAATTTGAAGGTTCAGTGAAATTACTCCCTATCAATAAGGAAAAATATATTTCGTTTACAAAATCAGTGGAAACGACAAAAGTCCACCTGAGATTTATTGACTCACTTCGATTCATGGCGAGCAGTATAGGGGGTATTCCATGTGAACTCACCCAGGTCAAAACCCTCACCATCGTCAATCATATTGCCGATTTTTCCTGTGGTTGTATATGGAAAAATATGACTTCTCAAATTTTTTCCGATTTTTTGAGGGATTCTGTGGGCACCCATGTCTTTTTGCAAGTTTTATCTTCAAATGCCTGTAACTTCCGTAAAAACCAACCGATTTGAATTTTTTTTTTACAAAATGTGCGCCTTCGAATACACTTTCCATATAAAAATATGCCAATTATTTTCAATTCATTCTTCCATCGATTTCCTCAGAAAAACCTCAAAAAACTTCAAAAAACGAGTCGTTTTCAAAGTTGGAACCTTTTTATATTTTTCAAAAAATTTCAGTGAGTATATTGGACCAAAATAAAATTTTTCACCAAAAACCAAAGTGGGGTCTCTATTAGAATACACCACTCGAAAAGATTTATTGTTAACGAATTTTCAAAAAATTATCAAATTATTCCAGATTCAAATATAATGCAGTGATTCTTCAGGCGGTAAATTCAAATAATGCTTCTGCGTTCAAATGCGAAAAGAATTTTGAAATTTTTAAAATTTTTCATCCCGGATTCATATATTCAAATTTGAAATGACGGCCACGAAATGGGAAGTCCACTTCGGCCTTTGGTGAAACATTTTGTTTTGGTCCAATATATTCACAAAAATTTTTTGAAAAATATAAAAAGGGTCCAACTTTGAAAACGACTCGGTTTTCAAGTTTTTTGAGGTTTTTCTGAGGAAATCGATGAAAGAACGAATTGAAAAAAATTGGCATATTTTTATATGGAAAGTGTGTTCGAAGACGCAGATTTTGTAAAAAAAAACTCAAATCGATCGATTTTTACGGAAGTTACAGGCATTTGAAGACAAAACTTGCAAAAAAACATGGCTGTCCACAGGATGCCTCAAAAAATCTGAAAAAATTTGAGATGTTATATTTTTGCATATACAACCACAGGAAAAATCGACAATATGATTGGCGATGGTCAGGGTTTTGACCTGGGTGAGTTCACATGGAATACCCCATAGATAAATTGTCATCATATTTATCTGATGATAAAAAAATTATTACGGCTAATTATTACACCAACTTGAATCAGTTCAAAC